GGTGTTGGACAGCACCAGCGCCTGCAGGAGGTCCAGGATGGAGGAGAGCGCTGCCCCCTGCAGGAGAGGAGAGAGAACCAGCCTGAAGACGCAGGGCAGCACCGAGAGGCTGATCGTACTGAGAGAGGAGGGGCAGGACCGAGCCATGACGCTGAGCAGGGAGACGGAGACCTAAACATCAGCAGGAGAGGACTCTTTAAAGTAGAGTGTGTGTGTGTGAGTGTGTGTGTGTGTGTGTGTGTGTGTGTGTGTGTGTGTGTGTGTGTGTGTGTGTGTGTGTGTGTACCTGTGATACGTGAATGTCGCTCTCGTCCACCAGACCCGGCAGCTCGCTCAGGACCGGTTCCAGCGCGGCAGGTTTGATGTTTGCAGCCTGATGCGTGATGATCGAGGTGAGACAGGCCAGCGTCCCGAGCTTCAGAACTCGCTCGTTCTTTCGGAGGAAAGATCCCAAAACTGAGAGCGTCTCCGGCAGGATGGAGGACAGGTCGATCTGAGAGAGCAGGAAGAAATGTTTACAGTGAAGCCTCTACTGCAGAAAAGATATTCACACACAGTGAAGGAAAGTTGTAAATAACATTTTCAAATTTCAGATGTATATTCTTCAGAATATTTGGGGGGAATTTTTTCACATATTCGTGGGAAAAAACTGAGACATTTTCTGGGAATTATTCTCTTCTTTTTTTTGTGACATTTTATTGCTGTTCAAACTTTGCTAATTGTAAATACATCTACAGCAATACAGGCTATGATATGAGAACATCATGTGTTTAGCTTTGTCATGTGAAAACCACGTATCAGTGAAGTTAACTTTTCATTGGTTTCTCAGAAATACAGCCGGTTTCAGCTCTGTGACGATGCCTTTTCCAGCTAATCCAAGAGGCTTTTAAATACTTTATTTAGCTTAAGTAGGAGGACATTTGTATAAAGGAACACTTCTTTCTTTAGTTTATCACAAACTTTCAAAATAATCTGGAGATGAATGGTTTTCACTGGACAGGAAGAGGAGGAAAACTGAAATCTGTATGATATTAAACTGAAACATTGAGTGGAGTAGAAAGTAAATAAACGTAATTATATGAAAGAAAATGTCATTTATAAGTAAATATCATTTATGAGATAAAACATGGTGTCCCACTGCACCTTTAAGGGGGAGGCGGAGATGAGGGTGAGGGTCCGGACGGCGGTCAGTCTCGTGATCTCGTTCTTCAACCTCTCCAGGAAGATGGCTAGAACACCTTGAAGCTCCGCCCCCAGGTGGTCGCCCAGGTGACACACCATGTGACCCATACAGGAAATAGCCCTCTCTTTCACTTCCTGGTCGATGTCTGTGGCCTTCAGCCTCTTCAGGGTCACGGAAAACACCTCGGAGGAATAGCAAAAATTAGATTATTTTTGTATAGATTACCAGGTGGGTTGTTGAGGAACTCTGAAGCTGGGCTGATTTTCTTTTTTCTTCGAAATTCTGGATACTTTTATATGTTGGCAAAGAACCACCAGTCGATTATGTCCAACTTTCCGTTTCATTAAAGTTAATGCAAAAATCGCTGCATCAAAAACATCAGAATAACTTCTCAAAAGAAAGTCACAAAAAGAAGTCTGAAAGATGGAGCTACAGATTGCTATAAGATGCAGACAATGTGGTGTCTTTAAAGATTTATATCACAGAAATCGCAAGACTTCAGTTTTCAACATTTAAAATACCTCTCTTAAAGCTCATTATAACAGATATTTATTTATCAGCTACAAAGGCAACAGACCCAGGAACAGCTCGAACTGCAGGCAGCCGAGAGTCAGATTGATTATTGCTCATCTCTACTGTGGTGAATTGTCGGAAACATAACAATACATTTTGCATTTAGTTATCCAATATTTATAAAAGATTTTACAACATTGTAGCTCCAAATAAAGCAGCATGTTGCAGTGCTTTTGGTCTTTGTTCTCCTCTTTCAACCAAGAAGCCCTGTACCGCCCGCACCTCTGGAAAAATGCTTGATAATTCAGTCGTAGATACAACATCACACATCTCCTCACATCACTAGAGCACAGAGAAGTCTTCAGGCTACCGTTTGTTACTCACAAGGCCCTACATGGCTGTGCCCCTTCATGCACCTCAGCCCTCTCACATCCCACTCAGATCAGTCGACCACGGGCTCTTATTTATACCCTGCTCCGTCTGTAAACCCCTCCTCACCTCTCTGACGAAGGGTTTGGGGTCGAATCCCCCCCCTGCTGAGGGTCCTTGAGGCCTCATCACTCTCACCAGCTGCAGGACCACCAGCAGAGCCTCTGAGGTGATCTTATAGAAGGAGTCCTCCACACAGGAGACCACCGGGGGGAGCAGCACCTGCAGGGGGACGAGCACATCTAATCAAATCTAATCAATTCAAATCAAACTTTATTTGTATCGCCCAAGATCACAAAACCAAGTGTGTCTCAGTGGGCTTTACAAAAACAAACAACAACATTGTAAATGATGGAGTTAGAGCAAACTGAGAAGACAAGAGAGTGTGTGGAGTACAAATAGAAATAACACAAAATAAAATAAGATACTCAAAAGACAATACAAAGACTCATTGGTAGCTGAACGCTCTGACTCCTGATCTTGCTTTGCGGACTCCGGGCACCAGACCGTGAGCGCATCAGGAGGTGGAAACGAGATGAATTAGGACAGGCGTTCCCAAACTTTGCCGTGCCAGGGACCCCCATATAGCATTATCCTCTGGCGGGGACCCCCCTGTTGCAATTATTATTATTTTTAAATGATGTGTACAAGTGCCCCCCGATGGAGCATGCAGTGCGTTGCCACTACATTTGGGGCCTTCTGCCTGATCGAAGCTGTCACTCCGCTTTCTTTGCCTGTCATAGCCCCACTGCCCCATCTGAACACACACCCACACAACGAGACCAGTCAAGTCCGTTTGAGATGATGTACTCATCTAAAACTATGTCTCTTCATGTGGTCCTACCTTCCAGTGCTTTGCAAAATAATGTTTCCTCACCAAAGTTGTCTTCTGAAATAAATCTGATGTATGCAAACAATTCTGCGACATTTGCTACATCCGTGCTCTCATCCAGCTGCAGAGCGAAACATTCACTAGCTCTCACTTGCTCCAAAAGCTGAGCAGATACTCAGTTTCACTCTCAGTAGCGGCAGCTCGATTCTGATTGGCTTGAAGGGCGGTCGTGTGATTCAAAAACAGAAAATATGAAAAGATTGGCATCAAAGGACACATAGATTAATAAATATGCAGTTATTAATAACATCTAAAAAAATGTTTAAAAAAATTAAATACATTTTTTTTTTTAAATCCCGTTTCCCTCAAACTTTGCGTGACCCCCCTGGCGCCCCCC